GGAAATACTTGCAACAGCTAAGTACTGAGGTTAAATCATATAAAAGGCTGAATAAAATAGATAGCTAACATTATAGTGTAATGACTCCACATACAAATCTATGTCCCTATCAGTCAAGTAAATTAGGTGACAGTCCATGCTTACTTGAACCTAGGTGTCACCTTACATTCATCTTGGAAGAAGCACACATATTTGAGTTAAACCCATTAAACTTTATGTTCATTTTCAATTATAAGACTGATCATAAAATTTATGGATCTTTATCTTGTCTAGAATGCTTCCTTAATCACTACAAACCTGTTCAAGTCTAGGGTTATTAACCATTATTTTCTCCCACATATCCTCATAAACTTACCCCTTACCTCTCATTCTGTAACCCTTTACCTTGCTTTTTGTACAAGATGAATATTATTTAAAAAAAAAAAAAAAAAGTGGGGGTAGGGGCATAAATACAGTGTCAATGTAACATGTTTCTGTAGATTCCATTTTCTGTGCTGATAACCGACATGTCACTCTACATCTCATGAACTAACAAATAATCAACCAGTTTAAAATGAGTTTTTCAGTTCTCTCCAACAACTGGCTACAATTTCATCCTTAATTATTAATGACACTCTTGTTTAAACTTGAAAAGGATTCTGTATCATGCAATGAAACAATTTGGTCACAATCAAACCATTGAGCCAATTGTGGTTAATTTGCAGTATTTCAACAATATCGGACGATCTCAAGAAAATTGGCGTGGTAAAGAAACTTGATAAACAGCTTCAGCATGAACCTAGTGAACATCAGTCTGATGTTTTGAGGTGTGTTCAATGCTGCATTGATGAAAATGACTTAATAAATTTGATAAAATCTACTGTTTTGGAAAAATAATTAATAAGTAATAATAAATAATAAGTAAAAGTAATTTGTGTTGTTGGCAGCTGCCATTACTTGCATTGTTTGCATACATTCACTGCAGAAAGTTAAGCATGGAAGAATGTAGTTAACGGCCTTTTTTTTTTTACTGATCTAACTTGTCTCAATTACTGCACAAGAGGACTATATTGTGTGCGCAAGAATCAAGACAATTGAATATTCCAATCATAGCTATTCCACAGTGAATGTATGCAAACTACACCAGTAATGGCTGCTGCCAACAACACGAATGAATCAAAACTTTTACAGTCAATAACTCCAAAATGGTAGATTTTATCAAATTTATCAAGTCATTTTCAAATGAAGCATGTACATTTATACCTAAATGTAAGAATTCAGGAAATTTTTAATGCCAACTGGCTGCGGGTTCTAATCTGCAAATTAACTACAATTGTTTCCAGGAAAGGATCTATTTCTCATCACAAGTAGCTATTCAATCAAGAAATGGATCATTTGAATTTTGCAGATGCAGCATTGAACACACTTCAAAACATCAAACTATTTGACGTTCACTAGGTTCATGCAGAAGCCATTTATCAAGTTATCAAGTTTAACTTTTACTGTGCCAATTTTCTTGAAATCGTTCAATATTGTTGAAATAGTGATTGTCATTATCTGATACATTTCTCTGTGGCATTTGTTTGAATAGATGCTGATTGTCAATTGCTAATGGATGTCTTCTATCACTTTGGTCTGCAAGACTCATACCCACTACATACTATCCTATCACAAGTGGATCCTTCACTCCATACTTTGTTAATGTTGGCATTGAGATGCATCATGACCAATTTATGCCAAAAAAAGTAAACATCTCTTTTTTTTTTTTTTTTTTTTCATGCTCAAGATCACAGGTATAGAATGTGTAAATTCAGAAAGAGATTGATATAAAATTAACAAAGCGTACACTTTAATCATTAGGAATTAATAATATATTTTCATGCAGCTACTATAATAATATATTAGAACAATTGAAAGGTTTGTTCTCAAATTGGAATTCTGGAATTCCAAACAACCTAATATTTAAGAGATAATTTTCATAAAAGACTCACTCTGTTAATAAATCCATCATTTCTTGATATTTTTTATAGATGACAACAGCTTCTTCATTTTCAACACAACTAGAAAATAACAGAAAATTAGAAGGTAAAAATCAAAAACAGTATTCCAAAACGTTTTAGATTAAGGCATTATGAGTTGAAATCTATCTAAAGGGTGTTCCAATAACTTTGACCGATTTTAATGTTAATTAAGTTTAAGTGTCTAATAATTTTTTTCTTTTTCTTTCAGATTTGGTGGACATTTGGGCAATATTATTTTTCACACATAATTGCCATGACTTAAATAACATGATCCAATAAAGAAATAAATTTTCACCAATAACACTGATTTATTTACTGCTGACTTTGATCCGTCTTAATGAAACACCCTTTATGACAAACATTGTTATTTATTCTGAGATTCTAAAGGCAAAGAGATCTATAAAATATTTACAAGTGCATTCTACTCTGATTTGATCATCTGACCTGAAAGTAAACATTCAGGTGCCACGTCCATTATACCAACATTCTCTTGCTTGAACAGCATTCACTTGATTGAACAGCATTCTCTTTTTTATGCATTAAACTCATTTTTTTAAAAATGAACTCTAAATGTAAGAGTTTTATTTTCAAATATGAAAAAGACTTTTTGTAGAATAATTTTTTTTTTGCAGAAAATAAATTAGCTCAAAATTGCAATAAGTAATTACAAAAGGTTCTTTAATAAAAAAAAAACTGGTATAGGACCTACCAAAAAATAAGATTATTTATGTAAAATATTAAATAAAATTAAATAAATTATACAAATATCCATTATATAAAATGTAATGTATGTCTGTGTGTGTAATTTTTCACAGAGTGTACAGACATTACACTTTAATCCTAGGCAGAGTACACAAATACTACACTGATACTAGGCAGAAGTGCCAATCTATAGATAAATAAGGCCAATTATTCTTGACAGGTACTATGCTGATAAGATAATAAAGTAACATCTTTGCTTGAATTATCAATGAAAATAACCATCTCAAATGAATAGAATAAAATTAAAATATCTAAAACATTTCACAAAACAGCATATCTTTTGGTTCTTGAAATTCATACCAAATGCGATCTTAGCATTTTTGAGGAAAAAAAAAATATGCAGAGGATTAGATCTGAACTTTAGTTATCTTCAGAAAACAAGTGCTGCATGTTGCAAAATAACTTAGTCTGAAGCTAACCGACCCAAAGACTACACAGCATACAGAAGAATATACAATCTCAGCTCCATTGGCAGCATTGCTAATATGTCTTCCAAACAAGTCACTCCTTGTGTAGTTTACTTTGCTTATGAAAAGGAATCTAAAGTAAGAGTTAAAACATTAATAGCATCCTCCAAAAGAATATTGATCAGATCCTTAATTTTTGGTACCGGAAAATAGTAGATGAATCCCCAGAGACACCAATGACATGGTCATAAAATATGTAAGAAAAACAAAAGAAGGGTTAAAAAGGATCTATGGATGAACAAAGCATCAACATGATTTCAGCAACCCCTTTTACATTCAACAGTTTATTAGAAAGATGAATCACAAAACATTGCATTTATAACATACCATATAAGCGTGGAAAAGAATATAAGGGAGAAACCAGCTGTCCCCTTGAAAGTCAAATTTGAGAAACATGGGAAAGCTATATGTAAAAGGGAAATAGAAGAGTCTGGTATAGCAGATCATTTATGAGGAGAAAAGTGATCACCTTTTCTTCTCTGGGAGAGAGGGTTCAAGTAATAGATATAGAACAATGCTAGAAGCTAAAAAAGTTAAAAGAAGTAGCATATATCATTATCCTTTAAGATAAATATATAAATCTGGTCAGTATGGATTTCTTTGCTTAGCATGGAGAGCAGTCAGCCTATATGATATAAAAGAAAATAAAAAGAGATCTCTTTTCAAATGGATTGTCTACATGAAGAAAAACAATGTAAAAGGCAAAATATTGTCATGGCAACAAGAACCAAAAAAGCACTACTTCAAAGAAAAACATGTTATTTTGACATATACCTGACAAACCTAGGGTTGCCTCTCTTTTGGACTTTCTATGATCATTTGTAATACAGTTTGAGAGCTTCAATTCCCCCCCTCAACTGGTGAGAATAATTCTATTTGTTATGGGACCTTACCCATAATAACATAATGGACTATTCCATACGTAATAAATACTGCGCATCAAGAGGAAGCAGAGAGTTCAGTCTGAAGTTGGGAGTGAGGTCCGTCAGAAGTCCGTCAGGAGTCTGTCAGTCAGTCAGAGCAAGCGAGTCAGTCAGTCAAGTCAGAGGCAGTCTGAAACAGAGTCGCGTTCAGACAATTACTACTAACCCTGATTGTTCGTTCTAACACTTTCTACTTCTCTGTATATATTCCTGTTTGTAATATATCTGTGTTATTCCATATCCGTGTTCAAGTCCTTCTTTATTGGTTCTACCTTGGACTATCACTGTAGTACAAGGAACTGGACCATAACAGTGGCGACGAGCGATTTGAACTCATTCGGTGGAAGAAAAAAAAAAATTTTCGTTTGCCACAGCATAACACTATTGGTTTCATGTCAGGTCGAGATGATTAAAGCAACATCAAGACTGGTCAGTATCTAAATAGGTGACCACTTGAGAATACCAAGTGCTGGAAGCTTGGACGTGTAGGTGGAGTAATATACTGGCATTCGGAATTGGAACTTAGAAAGCCAAGTTCAAATTCCAGTTGGGTCCATTATATTCACTTACACACGTGCCATTGGGAAGGTATGAATCCACTTCTCTCCCCACCTAAGGGTTAATTAGTAAGACATATCAGTAAATCATTATTATCTCCAATCTAAAAGTATTTTCAGACTTTAAATAACCTACAAAGGGTTGATAAGCCATAAAAAACCCAATCAAAATTGATTTAAATCAATAACTCTGCATAAAGTATATGCAAAAGTCAAATTTAATACCCAGAAAAGAGAGAAATCAAACTGTAATAAAGGAAAGAGTTCAATTCTAAGGAAAACCATTTTTACTTACTTATGTTCCAAATGCTTGAAATCTTCGACAAAATTGCTGATTCGTATTCTCATTTCTTCAGCCCACTTTAAACTGCCAGAGACTTTTGGCATGAATTTATGCATCTGAATTCTTCCATGGATTTTCTGGTGCAACATTTGTTCGTCATACATTTTTCTAACCATTTTCACCTCTTCTTGCATTAGATGCACAATATTTGCATATTTCTTATCAAATGTTTTTTTGATTAAAGGACGTTCAAGCAGGTTGCCTAGTGTCTCAATCAGCTGTAAGAGGCAGAAAAATAATTCAAATGATAGACACCAGAAAAACAAAATCTACAAGTAAATAAATTTACTGAATATATTTACGACAAAAACTAGTTTGTCGACTTATCCAAATTTTTAACTCAATCGGTTATGAAACGTTCACTAAAAAGCATGACATTATGAAAATATGGATATAACTTCTAGAATTTTGAGAAATGTCATTATCATTCTAAATTCAGTTTGGATTACTGAACTCTTTATCTTTCCGCTTTTGTTGTTATTATAACAGAGCAGTGTCATTGGTTGATTGATTGATTGATTGATTGATTGATTTCTCCTTATGGGCCATTTAATGCTAAAATTTAATTTTCTTGGGACCTTTGTAGTGATAAAAATGTTATTCTGCTTTCACAATTGAATACATGTTAAATGATACTCAAATTTTGTGCATATGTTTGTGCAGACATGATTACTAGATGTGGTTATATGTGTTTTATGTTGTAGTTTTGTTGAAGTCATATTTTGGAATACAGTTTGATTTCTTTAAGAAATTATAGGATATTATAGGGATTAATGTCATGAAAGGGTTTTTTCCCCTGTTGGTTGTTTGGTTGATTTTGTTTAGCAGCATATCAACCTCTATGGGTTATTTATTCCCAATATCAAAATATTTTCATAAAATATATTGTTGGTAATGTTACTATAAAAATGTATTTTTATATTTTTTTAGTCCTGCATTGATTGTCATTTTGCTATAAAATGTATTGCTGGTCATTTTATTATAAAAATATACAGTTAACTTTTGTTTGGGCATTCACAATTTGTCCATAGCTGGGACCCTAATAGATGCTACCACCCTGGGTTAGGGCAGACCTTGGAACACAGAAATTAACAGTTTGATTGATTTAATGATTGGCTGGTAGGTTATTTAACTGGCATATCAACCACTTATGGGTCATTAATGTCGAAATGGTTGATTGGTTGATTTTGTCCAGCGGCATGACAACTTCCATGGGCTACTGAATGTCGAAATCCAAATATTTTGTATGCAATGTTATGGCTTCAACAACATGTTTTGGATGCAATTTTATATGTTCAGGGTAAACATATTTCTTTTTAGAGATAGTTTATAGATAATTAAGAGGTGGTTCCATGCTCCTCAAAACTTCCAATCTCCTGATCAGAGGCCTTGCTACTGGATACAGTTTATCATCATACCCAGGAGGAGTCTCTGGTAGAGTTATATTGGTGCATGGAAAGTGGTCAGTGACTTGAGATATGGTGAGACTTGATAAATCTGAGTGAAGAAGTAGCAATATTGGAAAGGGAAAATTTATGGAGAGTGGTAATTTGGATTGGTGCCTAATGAAAAAAAAAAAGTCCAGTTAAAAAAATATTAATTTAAACCTAGGTGGAGGGCCTCAGAAAAGTTTGAATTCAAATTAAACTAAAAAAAAGATTTAGTAAGATTCAGTATAACTACCACCCCCAGCCCAACTCCATGGCCCACGTGGATTGGTATGACATGACTAATGAGTTTGACAAAGTCCACACAATTCTCAGTCACTCTAGGGTTGATTTATTTAGAGATTCATTTGTTGTATTTGCAATTATTTCAATGTAATTTTTGAAACTAATAAAATTCAGCCCAAACTGTAAAACATTTGTTGGCTGGCCATCTGGTTCTCTTACAGAAGATTCTTTGTTTCAGATGGTAATTTCGTGTTGTCTATTTCCCAGATGGAAGTCTATATAAATGGAATACATATGTGCATGAGCACATCAGTTTGACTCAGACACCTGCAAAGAGAAAACACTGGCCACCCCATTCAAACATTTTGCATTAGAAAAAGTCCAATGTAAAAGTAATTCACTGCTAAGACATCTCTCAGTACCTCAAAGGGTGGGAAAAAAAAGGATGAGTGAGTTGAAGCAGCTCTATAGCTGTTGTAAAATTTTACATTTCATCTCTAATTGTTAATAACTATGTAACAGCATCATTTTCTTCCAATTAAAACACTTATCCTATCGCCTGACATCCATGAAACTCATTTGAATTCTTACCCAGATCAACAAAAAAACTATGACTTGTGTTTACTTCTCACAAGTAAACACAACAAACTGAGTCCACTAGATGGCCCATCCTGGTAAAACAAAATTTATTGCACCAAACATAAGCCATCTTCCCCCAGGTGTAACCCTTATTCCCTTAAATCAGATTAACTTAAATCATTATATCATTATGTGCCAGATGGACGCACCACACCAGCATGCACGCATCACAGACTTTTAGTATTATATAGATGTCGTAATCATCATCTTGATTCAATATAGAAGAGCAGTTTTTAAAAAATACGTATTCCTTATATATATATATATAATATATATATATATATCCTTATATATATATATATGAAGAAAAATATACTGAAAAACAAACAAAAATCCTAATATGCGATTATGCTGTTTTAATGTTTAATGTCAACATCGGATGTTTCAGTCTAATAGACCATCTTCAGAACATATTCATAATTTTTCATGTTGAGTTGTATATGGTCTATAGAGCTGCTTCAACTCATACTTTTTTTTTTCCACCCTTTGTGGTACTGAGAGACGTCTTAGCAGTGAATTACTTTTACATTTTTCTTCATATATATATATATATATATATAGAGAGAGAGAGAGAGAGAGAGGGAGGGGGAGGGAGTATAGTGCGAGTTTTATGCCCAGTTTTTGCTTAAAAAAAAAAAAAAAAAGTCTCATTATACACATCATTTTTTTGAAGAGGTTCAAAATCATGTGTTTTTGGTGACTGGTTGCACTATATACAGGTAAATATTCTCTGGAAGGGTTAAGATTCATGCATTTTTAGTGAACGTAACCTACATGGTAGGCCTAAATTCTCATGGTACCTTTGGCTAACCTTAACAGTACAGGTAAGCTCCTTTAGCTTATCTCCTTTAACCTAGATTGTTTCTTTCTCTTGCTTCATGGAAGGCATTCACTGTGTGTGCCACTTAAAATCTAGAAACGCCTTGTATAAATGATGAATTAAAAATGTTTTTTTTTTCCTATCTCCACTTTGCGTCCATCTTTGCAGGTGTTTACAATGAATTGCTTTTCCAGTGGTATCTTTTTTGTCTGATATGCATCTGTTCCATATATTTGTCAATATGAGGCAGGCCCAGATTAAAGGAGCTACCAATAAGAAGGTGGTTGAGCACCTAGAAAAGAACAACCTCTTCAGTGACAAGCAGTATGGGTTTCGTTCAGCCCAATCCACTGCCAACGTCCTAACTACCATCACTCACAAAATTAGTGAGGCTCTTGACAACAAACGCACCTTGAGGATCATAGCACCAGATATCCCAAAGGTCTTTGACAAGGTGTGGCACAAAGACTTACTACACCAGTTCTCCAGTTATGGAATCACTGGAAGTGTCATAAAATCCTTCCTAACAGGTAGGTCCCTGAAAATATTTATCAATGGTCAGTCCTCCAGAGACCTAGAGGTCAATCCAAAAATCCCCCAGGGATCACTACTCAAACCAACCCTATTTTGATCTACATAAATGATCTTCCTAAGAATATACTCAGATCATTTGTAAACATCTATGCCAATGATACAACTACATACGGGTGCATCTCTAAAATTCTCAATGGTCAGAGATTGGTGACTGATCTCTCTTCCAATCTTGCGCAAACTACCCAATGGGGTAAAAAGTGGCTGGTTACATTCAATCCTCAAATACCAAGCTTGTTACATTCCATCATCACTGATATGACACCAAACTACTACCAATCAGGATGAACGGAGGTCTTCTTGGTGAAACACCATGGCTTGAAAGACCGTTGGGCCTCAAACTCACACTTGACCTTAAGTGGAAATTGTACATACGATCCATTGCTAAGGATGCAGGTAAAATGGTCGGCTCTCTGTATTGCTCCAGTAAATATCTGAATCCTCTTAATATCCAGATCAGGCAAAAATGCAAAAATATATATATATATATATATATATATATATATATATATATATATATATATATATATATATAGTATGCCATCATTGCTGATCTGACCCCAAACTACCACCAATCAGGAAGCACCTTGCCTTGAAAGGCTGTTGGGCCTCAAACTCACACTTGACCTTAAGTGGAACTCGTACATAGGATCCATTGCTAAGGATGCAGGTAAAATGGTCGGCTCTCTGTATTGCTCCAGTAACTACCCGAATCCTCCTGCTATCTTGTAATTTTACAAGGGCCAGATCAGGCCAAAAATGGACTATTGTTGTCATATTAAGGTGGGAGTTTCCCAGACATCACTCTCCAGCCTTGATAGAGTTCAAAAGTGCCTCCAAGCCCTTGTGGTTGATAAATTATTCTCCATCTTTCAACCCCTCTCCCACAGGAGAGATGTGGCCAGCCTCTTGCTGTTCTACTGCTATTTCCATGAAAAGTGCTTGAATGAACAACATTCCCTGGTCCCACCGAGGCCAACCTTCTCAGTAAGAACATGCCATGCCACTTACATAGTAGCAAACCACCTACATTCCTTCCATATTCCATCGGTGAGAAGTAAGTTCTATTCGAGCAGCTTCTTCCCATGAACCACTGCTCTGTGGAACTGACTCCTAACAGGATGTTTCTCCAATCACTACAATATTAACCTGTTCATAGCTAGAGTTAACAGCTCTCTTTCCTTCCTATACACACAAATGGCTTTCAAATGTAATCCTCTACCTTGAGTGCCCTCTAGGCCTTGTAAAGGGTGAACACTTCTGTAAATTGTTATGGCGACCTGCCTTCATGGACAAAATAGACTCGTCTTATGACTATATTATGCTTCGCAAGAGGACTGTAGACAGAAGACGAGTTGACTACTGTACTTAGCCGTCAGTCGGACGTGCAACACTTCTGTATTCATTCTTTTTGTTAATAATATATTTTCACTAAATCGCTGAGTTCGAGTTTTCTTTTGGACCTCTTCTGGGTCCAAAACATAAATAATAAAAGAAAGTCAGACATGAACGCAAACAAGAGTATGGTCTCTAAAACTTCATATCAAATATTTTAAAATAAATGTTTTTTTTTATCATTTTGGGTTAGCTTTGTACAAAAAAGAATGGAGACCATTTATTTGCTATAAAATTGTTCAGGATGATACACAGTACTGCAATATTTGTCAATGGTTGCCCAGAAGTTGAGGTCGCATTATACATGAGCTATATGAAAAAAAAAAAAACAGGCTTTTCACAAAGAAATTCAGAGGTCCCATTGTACATTAAGTAGGCTTATACATGACTATATATGGTAAACAATTGTAAGTAAACTTCTAACTGAAGGAATTTATTCTTACCCTGAAACAAGAATCTAATCCAGAGCAGTCATCAAATGCTTGACAAATGATTGTTGATAATCTGTGGTCCAAATCAGAAATATTTTCACGAAATACATTATAATCTTGCAGGAACTCCTATTAAAAAAAAAAAAATCAGAACAGATATTAAGCTATCATCATATCAGCAACACCCATTTCAAATCCATCACTGTAAAAAAAAAAAAAAAAAAAAAAGAAAAGCCTTTCCTAATTCATTCTATGACAGCTGATGACTGTTATTTTCTATCATGTCTTAACAGTAGAACCCTCTATCACATCCATCTTCTGTTTGGTCTTTTCCTATTGTAATTGCTATTCAGTGGGCATCAATCTTTTGCTCCATCTATTATCCTTTCTTTTTTTTTTATTATGTGTCCCACTGACCTCCATCTCTTTCTCTGCTTTCTGATGCATGTTCATCTTTTTCTATCTCTAGTATTGCTCTTTCCATCAATCTTTCTAGGTTTCTTGGTTTGTTTCCTCATATTTTTGTTAATTTTCATGTTTTGCTCACATTATAGCTTATTCTACATTCTTTAATTTTTTAAGCATATTGGCAACATCCTTTTATTATGTTTCTATTTTTATTAAGTACTTTCCAACTAAATTAATATTAAATTCAGAGGATTGAGGAAAAGACAGAAAGGAATTCGCAAGCCTATGTGAAATTTTCTTTGGATAAATGAAAATTTTGCCTTTACAGAGATTGACTGGCAAGCTGAGAAAAAGATGGAAATAAATTTGAAAGCCTATGTGAAATGGCTTTTAAACCAAGGAAAACCTTGTCTCCACATAAAGTAGTGAGCATATGCAAAATTCTTTTTGATATAAAACTAGCAGCCATACCCAGCTGGTTGATCAGAAAAAGTGTTCAATTAGAATGGAGCAAAAATAGCATCATGTTTAGATGTAATAGAGTCTATCTCCTTCAATTACTTTAAAGTACTGAAAATGCAGTTATTGATATAACAGAAGTAGTCTGTATTTATTCAATCGAAGTTAGCCAAGGATATGAAGGGATAAAACAGGCAACATGAAGACCCACTAAAGACCACAATTATTTTGGAGTTTTTGAAATTCACCTTGTCAGTGTGCTATCAGGGATATAAAAGAGGATACATTTATAAAGCAATTGTTAAGCTTGATGAAAATTGGTTGAAAGATCAATGAAAAATGAGAAAAAAACCAGTAAAAATCGCCATTTTTCGCTATTTACATGGGTTTTAACTACATGGGTAGATTCAATTATCAATTTAAATGACTGCTAAAAAATCAACTTATTGTTGGTTACAATTGAGTGAAGTTTGTATTAGATTGCTTGAAAATTGTGGGAGATTTTAGTTTAAAATTTGTTGAAATCAAATTGTGTTAAAATCAATTTTTCATTTTTCGCTAAATGCAATGGCATAGAATAATGAGACATCATTGAGCGCATCATGATGTAAATAACCTTCATACAGAATTTGAACAAAATTGGAGGAAAATAGTTGAATTTATCGATTTTTGATCAGCTTTATCGATTATTGATTTTTTTTTTAAATTATCGATTTTTTATGCTAAGAATCTATCTCTTACATCATACTATGTATGTGCCAAGTTTGGTCAAAATCAGTTAGATGGATCTTGAGTGAAAATGTATCACAGTCAGACATCCTGTTTTATAAATATAAAATGAGGAGAAAAATTAAATTAATAAGTGTGTGAAGTTTCATTTCTGTTCACTGCATCCAGTGTTGAAGTTTTTGCTAGCATCAAATTACTTGCCAATTATATTATCAGCTTTTAACCAAGCATACGACACTTCAAAGAATTTTCCATCAACAATCCAAGATTCTGTGATCACTGAATCTTTGTCTTAAACATTTTTGAATATTCTTTTGTGTCAAATCATTTAATCTGTTTCATGAACATTTCCTCTTCATGACAATTTGCTAAAACTACAGACTTTAAAAATTTCTGATTTATTTTCCTGAAACAAGCTACCGACAACTTCAAGTGTAAAAATTTGTAAATAAATTCCTTATTTTGTCTTATTAAAAATTACCAATGTGCTTCCTCAATATTATCACACTCCATTAATCTTTTTGTCATGGGTAAATCAACTGTTCATTTTAACCACTCTTAACCAATTTTAATTTGAAGAATATTGGAAGAATGATTGCTGAAGTCTCACTAAGGGGTATTATGGTACTGAAATTTTATGTTGACACATGTTGTATATAATCTATTTATTGTTATTAATGATAATGGTGAGATTAGCCATCTCTATACAGGAAACATTTGGTATTCATTGACCAAAGTGTTAGCATTATCATTTATTGAAATTTATCAAATCTTTCTCTGAAAACAGTTTTTCAGGAAAATAGGTTTCTCAAGTCTACTGATGGCTATTGCTCTTTCTTTGTACGGATTGGTGTTTCCATCATAAACTTTTTTTAAGGTAGTGTAGTGTTAACCACTTTAGTTGTTGCTGCCATTTGAAGTCTGCAAGTGGTTTCTGTTATTTGTTAAACTTCTTTACTTTCTCAGGGATTGTTTTTTTTTTGTGGCTTATCAACCTTTTGCAGGATATTTAAAGCCAGAAAAATATTTTTGCTTGTAAGAATTTAAGGAGAATAATAATTATTTACTAATAAATGTCCTACTAATTAACCTATAGCTGGATAGGAGAAGTGGTGGAATCATACCTTTCCTGACAATATTTGTATGTAAGTGAATATAATGAACCTGACTGAAATTGGAACTCGGCTTTCTGAGTTCCCATTCCAAGCAGTTATCCATTACACCACCTGCACATCCAGACACTATGGGGAAAATAGAAATGATTTACCTCACAAACGCCCTCGCGTCTGCCTGGCCTGTGGGTTGAGAAAGGAAAGAAAAGATCCAAGATGGCGTCCGTGACTTAATATTCACGGTCTCTTCTTCCTCCTTTCATTAAAGTCGCGTTGCACACATGCTACTGAGGTGTGTCTGGGCTCCATAAAAGCAGGTTGCTTGGAGAAATTGGCTAATGGCATTACACCCGTGTTTGGTGTACACGGCTTTGCGTTGCAGCGTGTCAGACATTTTCAGACGGAAAGAGTTGCGTCCCTTACACTGTTGAAGTCGACTCATTTGCTACAGACACTGATATTCCCAAGCGGTTACCCATTTACATACTAACTTTTGTGATCACATGGAGAACCAGCGTTTCAATGTGATGTGCTGTAAACCATGCTACCTGCACATCAAAACTTATATCACCTGGTATTCCCAAATGGTCACCCATCCAAGTACTCGATGTTGCTTAACTTCATGATTGTACAAGAACTAGTCTTTTAACATGATGTGGCTGTAAACCATGCTACTTGCACATCCAAGCTTACAACACTTGGTATTCCCAAATGGTCACCCATCCAGGTACTGACCAGGCTCAACGTTGCTTAACTTTTGTGATCATACAAGAACCAGTGTTTCAACGTGATGTGGCTTTAAGCCTAATTTCTTTAAATTTTACATTAGGATGACAACTTCTGTACTATTGTCGTTTATTACACAAACCAAGAAACTATTTCATTTTTTAAATAAGAATAAAATTTATAAAAATTCTTAAACAATAAGTGTTTTTCTTACCGGATCATTAAAGTCAGTTGTATCATAATTTTTCTCTTGGAATACTCTGTATTGCTCTTTAAATTCATCACAGATTTGTTCCACTTGCTTATCCAAAATTTTACCTTCAATGCCACCAAGAGCTACTTTTTCTAATTTGATGAATTCTGTGTAGGTTTCCATGATTTTCTGAAATTTAAAAAAGTCATTTCAAAAATATGTTGCCATGATTTTATGAAATTTAATAAGTAATTTCAAAAATACATCAGTTTCCTCACTCATATCTGATGCTTTTACATTTTCAGTTACAATCCACAGATATAAGCAAGTTTGACTTCATTAGTTATGGTTCCAAGGTACAAAAATAATACTGCAGTCAATTCAAATATGTCTGACAAAAGCCATGAAGTGTTTCCTTTAAGTGAAAAGTTGCAAGGTTTAGCAACCTCAACATATATTTTTCTTTTACTTAAGGAAAAGAAAAAGAAAAATATCATATGCTAAGGTTGCTAACTCACATAATTTGAAAAAACAAATTCTATAATTGATTATTTTTATTAACTCTTATTGTACCTAAGCTTTATTATATGCATGGATGTATAGGATAAAATAATGATTTATATATATATATATATATATATATATATATATATATAAATAAAATGGGTCAGTACTATTCACAATTTCAAGCAGCTAATGGGGGCTTCCAAATATATAAAATATGGATAATAGTAATATTAGCAGTTTCACTGAAAAGAAACACGAGGTATTCATTGACTGAACAGCTAGTATAGTTTCTGGTCGAAATTTAGAAAATCTTTCAGGAAAACAGGCTTCTTAGGTCCAGTAGCTATTATCACTCTTTCCAGTATCAACAAGGGTTTCCTTTTATTTCAAGTAGTGTAAAACATTAACATCTTGATTATGTCATTATTTTCTTGAGTTACATGTGCTATCCATTTTAGTTACTGATATTGCTGAAAGTCCTCAATTGATGTGGTTTCTGTTATTTGGTACAGTTCTCTGTTTGCGATTCTGTAGCAATAATGTACAATGTTCAAAGAAGGATAGTCTTTGGCAAGACTCTCAGATTTCAATTGCTCAAAGCCTTTTTTCACCATTGATCCGAGAAATTGGTTGTATACAGCTGACAATTTAGGCTTTGGCAGCATGCATGACATTCATATGAAAGACTCGATCAGATGATGCTGTTTAAGAATATAACTTGAGTTTTTAGTTTAATGGTTTAAATTTGTAATAATTTGCAGCATTGGATGAAATGACCTTTTAGCATAGCCTATTCTATATTCAATTTACTTATCTCCTATAGTAAATTTGTGACAACTGATCAATACACCAAGACATTTGATGGGTTTAGTATTTACAAATTCCACATCCAGGGTAGGTGCCATCACTGCTTTCATTCCAATTCCAGATCATAGTTTCCGTTTCGGAAAAGTTTATCTTGATTCCTAACTCTTGGTAGAGGAAACTGATTTTTCTACAGGATGTTAGCGATCATGGCTCTCCACAATTTCCTATCCTTTGTAGCTCTTAATAAATTTTGTCTTTTTGTAATCTCTCTACCCATTACTCTCATTAATATCTTCTGCATTCCAGGGATGCTGATTAATCTCTTGGTTCACTATTAATTTATTCTGGGTCAACAGATGAAAGTGGGAGAAAATGGAAAACACTGGAGATGAAGGTATTAAACATACATATTTGTAATGCCACAGTGATAGATTTTAAGAAAAATTATTTAGTTTGTCTATTGAATTACTTTTTATGTTGAATTAATGTACAAATTTAATTGATAATGACTTATTATTCCTTTATAGATTTGTATATGCTGGTTTCATTAACATTTTGCCTATAATTTGGAAAAAATGCACCAATTACGTTATTAATATGCAAAAAGGATAAATTATTAAAATAGTCATTATATGAAGTAATATTATAGCAATATTCAATTGTTCAATATTGTTAATCCATAATTGCTATGCTTCTTCCAAACCACAACAATTCATAATTCCTGAAAACAGAGGTGAGAGTATTCTCTCAGACTTTAGAATAAACATCTGGCAACAAAATTTATTCAATTCACATTATTAATACTGTACCTTTATCAGTTGAACTCTTAGATAAAATTTGTCAAAGATGTCAAAAACTAAATCCGGATTGAAATTCCACAAGTTAGGCTCTACATTTTCAGGAAAGTATTGGCTGATATTGTTTTGTTGTTCTGTGTAGAGATCTTTAAAACACTTTAATATATGTTCAGCATCATGCACTTTTAAAATTTTTTCTTCTGTTTCACCTTTGAAAATGTCTGTGGGTTCCAAATAGGTTCTTGTCTGAAAGAGAGAATCAATTTAAGTGATGTAACAAAGACAAAAGGTACTTAATTTATGGAATAATAAATCATTGAGATATAAGTAAAAATATTTTAAAAATTTTATTTCATTTGTTCTTTGAACTGATATTGATAAAAATTATGTATTGTAATTCCCCATATATAATATACATTTTTTTCTAAAAAATAATAAGCAAAATTAGAGGTGCGTATTATATGCACAACTACAAGAAAAATCTTTAAAAAATTGCTGTTTCATAGGTCAATTTCAGTTATGAAATGACTACTCACCACAAACATATGACAATAACATTCAGTGATTACGATCACGTAAGGATGTCAAATACAATCATATGTACCTAACAATACTTACAAATGTAAAATAAAATAAGTATTATCACAAAACTAAATTAGAATATGTTTAAAATCATTTTTTTAATAAGAGTAGGAAACACTGACTGTAATGAAATTGGAGTGGTACAATTTATACGATTTGATTACCAAACAAGGGATGCACATTATGTGTGATTAGAGGCATTTTCCCACATTTTCAGCACAATTTTAGGAGTGCATATTATGGATGAAGGTGTATTATACATAGAGAATTATGGTAATTATTGACAAATAAAACAGACATTCAGTCAAAATACATGATTTTTTGGTTTTACGATATCAAGGACTTAAGTGTATTAGAAATGAGAAAGAAAGGAATTGTCAGTGGACAGGAATTAATGCAAACATTACCAATAGAAGAGAGTTATTATATGTATAATTATTTTATAGTTGTATTTTACTTTATCATTGGTCAGGAATTACTGTCAGCTTTGTAAACAGAATCCAAATACAGAGCCTTTTCACTCCTGTTCGAGGAACTCCTCCCTGGTTGACCATGTCTTCAGAGGTTGTGAAGATATTTAATGCATATTTGGGGTAGATGGCTGCTGACTCTGAGAAGTTCAACTAACCTGTAACAGTTTGATTTTTGAGCTTCTGGGGTTCCACATTCCTACTTTGGAGAAGCCATTTTAGTCATTGACCATTTGGCCACTCAGTTTTTGAATTCAGAGTGGTCCTTCTCCTAGACTGATTGCCACTCCAAGGCTACAGGCTACAGGACCCAGTACGTCCTACTATTTACCCATAGCTGGAGTGGGGGTAAAGAGAAGAGATGGATCCATACATTACGCAAGTGAATATAACAAACTCCATTGGAATTTGTACTTGGTGCTCCGATTCCTCAATCCAAGGTATTATCTATTACCCCACCATACCTCCGCCTATACCAACAGAATAGAACTATTATATATATATATATATATATATATATATATATATATATATATATACACACACATACATACACACACACACACGTTTAAAATGAAATGATTCACCACCTCACCTAGGGAATATCACCTGCAACAGTCGATAGACATATCATCATTGATAGCAATTTCACACCCACTGGCACTCATGTAGTATTCAAACCACTGGCTCTGAATTGTGAGAGTTCAAATCTTCACAAATACAAAAAAGTAAATTATGTTGGAGAAACTGGAATAGAATTCCATCTTTGGTTCAATAACCATAAAAAACATCAAGAGCAACAACAATTTACCTGTCGCTGCACACTTCAACCAACCATTTCATAGCGTTGATGCCATCAGATGCATGCTTTTTAGCATCTTTATTCAACTGCCTTATATATATATATATATATATACATATCTCTGTTGGTATATAATTTATAGATAGAGATATTGGTATCATTTTGTTGGCTTTTTATTCTTCAAATTTTATTAACCAGCCTATTGTGTATATATATATATATATATATATATATAGAGATTGATTGATTGATGCAAGTTTCATTAAATAATATAGACAAGTGTTGTCTATTTATTTTATGTAAATCTCTTTTCATATCGTCTGATAAGCTTAATAACATTATCATTAAACAAAGAAAGAAAATCACAATTTTTTTTAATCCTATCTAAGCTTTTGGCTTACATAAGCCATTATCAAAGATGACAATTACATTACAATATATTAAGCAATACATGGACAAAACAGTGATGATAGTCTGTTCCTGTTTACATGGAAGATTTCCAAGCAACGACAAACTTGTGCATACAAGACACTGGAAGTGAAAATTGCCCCGCAGCTCATGATGTCACATGACCATGCGAGAGTGAAAACGAGAAGTATTAAGTATGGAAAGTCATTGGTGTGTGTGTGTATATATATATATATATATATATATATATATATATAATGCATCTGTATTGTACAGGGTGATTATATGTATGATAATTTTGCAACAGCATTTTATGGTAGAAATGCATTGCAAAATAATTTTACCAGATAAATAGATGACGAAAAGAGGCAAAAAGATATTATCAGCGGCCATAAATTAAGACAAAAGACAAGAAACTAAGACTATGATAATCATTAATCATAATCATAGTGTATTTAGTACTTTAAAAGGATTGATGCCTACTTACCAAATCAATGATCATATTACAAATTTCCTTTAACAGCGCAATAATACGAGATGGTGTGTTGTAATATTTGGAATTGACCCACACTAAACAAATGAGATGGAAGATGGCTCGAAAATGTCTTTCCAGTTTTGTGAAATCTGTCATTTCCATTTCCTCAAAAAAAGGCCGCAATATCTTCAAGTACATGTTAATATCTTCTGCTTCTTCCAAAGCTGACAAGGAAACAATTCAAATATTCAGTGTCTATGATTTTAAAGACTCAAATTTATTTTAAGGCAGCACATAGTTTATTTCAATAATTTACTAATTTCGCAATTATTTTTTTTATCGATGAGAAAGTTGTATATGAAACTGAGTTCAATTTTAAAGTGTATTTTTTTAATGGTATATTTGAGAAACTTACATGAAAACATATCATACTTTTAATTGTTTCTAGACAAACACTTCATAGTAAATTGATTTTTATAATTTTAAATGTTTCATTGAAGTTGAAACATAGAAAGAGGTTCCATTTCTCTGTGACAAAATCTATCTCAATAATAAATAATGTGACCATTTCTAATCTGCCGTTTCTTTGTCTTTAAAACCTGATATTTTATACACATACCAGGTGGCATTTTACAACTTGGTTCCACAATTGGGTAAGGAGAAATTCTATTTTGTTATGGTGACATGAAGAATGATTGGTCCCACTGGAACAATAGCATTGATAAAATTTTAAAACTTAATTATCTATCATATATAGCGTGCGACAGAAATACCTCTCATATATACCTATTATGTTAACCACTTTGATGTGTGGCTTCCACAAAGTGCGCTACTTAAATGTAACAAAAATATCCCATGAAACGAACTGTGATGATCATTAAATGTGGCTCACTTGGATCGGTTTCTTTATCATTCTTGTTTAAAACAAACGAAAAAGTGGAAATTAATCAAAGCCAACCTTGTCTATTTATTAAAACACTGTTTTTAATAAGAAATTGTGATTGGTAATGCAAAGTGGATATTTTACAACAATGTAGAATACAAGCACAGGACAAACAAAACTATCATTAACTGAACCAAAGGCAGGGTCTTCATTCAAAGAACATGTTGCTTTGTAATTGGAAGGAAATATCCAATGATGAGCTTCTTTACAGAGAACCAAATGAGTGTTACACTCAGTTAGATAAGTGAAGGTAGCAACTAATTAAATGTATCTTGAATTGGTTAAAGAGAAAGGCTGTAATATTTTATCAAGATGAAAGTAGACTGCATGTTTATTTGCTGAGCAGGTAAAAATTCTCCTTTTTATCTGCCATATTCACCAGATATTACATCATTGAAAAACCATTTACTCCAGTTTTTACAGAATGGTCTTAATTAAAAGAAAAATTAGGTTCTTGAGAAGACCGCAAAAAACACTTAGTACTGTTTTTTGTTCAACAAGTTCTGGTGGGATGGAATTATTTTTTGAAAGCTGGCAGAAAGATTGCAGAACAAAATGATAAATATGCTGTTCGATAAAATTAATGTGATTCACAAACATTTTGCTAGACATGTTGGCTGGAAAGACAACTTCTGTACAGGGACCCCAAGCATCACCTCCAATCAACAAAACTAATCCCTACAATAATTTAAAATACAATAGTTAATCACGGATGATGATACCCCCACCACCAACCAAAAAAAAAAAACTGTAGAGGATGAGCCTGTACATATTAAACCACAGATATAAAAATGCATGCCTTGCCAAAAACAGGCAGTTTGGCTGAACACCTCAACCTCGTCACACAACTGTGGGCCCATCCATACACATCACTGGTGTCGATTTCAGCCCTGAAGACAAATTAGTCAACCCCACCACCAACACTCAACTCATGCTACCATGCAGCTTCACTAATCCACTCCAAGCCTCTCTCCTGTTACCAACCATAACCTCAGTCAACCAATCCAACAAATCTGTCAAATCCTGAACTTTTCAATAACTTTCTCGCACCTAATTGCTTCCCTTACCAACAAAGAACCACATATCAACAATTTTGCCACCTTTTCATACAGATATGTATATATTTTAAAAATTGATCAATACACATTGTTGAAATTTTAGTCCTTGTTTTCTTTCCTTTGCAACCATACACTCATTATAACATGCAATAAACTATCAAGGGAATAAAAAAATGGGAACCTTAGTTGGTCAAGTTATAATACAAATGTTAAAAAATGCCTGTGTTTAATGTTTTTGGTATAGGTTGGTAAATAACATGAACATTAAGATAAAAGGTGGATAAATAAACATCTGTAGTAACATAAGATACAAATCTACAGTCATCTCTAAATTTTAAGCCATATTGTTTGTTTCCCTACTTGGGACAAGTCTGAAGTTAATTGAAATTCAAGATGAAGGATTTTCATTATTCATTTTTGGCTAGGACTTCATAGATGAATTGCTTAAAGTGTGTTCCATAAAAAATCAAGTTTCCAAGATATGGGATGCGAGTTCAAGTTTCAGAGGGGCTTTTGTATAGTTTTTATAATACTTTAACAGTTATGGAAGTTATGGTAAAAAGCAACAAAAAAATGAAAAGATGAGCCAAAAGTTAGTCACAAATATCTCTGTTCAATAGTAAGTCACCAAGATGAAACATACCTGTGGCAATTTCTTGAAACAAATTTTCAAAGGAATAGTAATACACACTGTTGGTTAACTTCAATAAATCAGATATTTTAGTTGCTTGAGGTGTTTTCAGCTACAAAGAGAAATAATAATCTTTGTTACTATTTCAAGCAGACATTCATTTGACATTAGAGTTGAATTTTAAAGCCCAATATTTAGAAAAAAAAAAATCAATGGTTTGATCCTTATGTAGATTAGTTTTGTTAGATGAAAGTGGTACACAATGAGAAAGGACAGGGGCAAATTAACTTCAAGCATAAGAAACATTCACTAGTTGCTACTAATAAATGATAGAGATATAAAATACTTAGCAATTGGTAGCAAAAAGCTAAGCAGTGCTTTCAGCAGATGAAGTTTACCAACATAGCAGAAGAGCAGTCACTGAATACATTCTTCAAGAGGTAGATTTTCCACCATATTTTAATTTTTCAGTTCTTTTGTGTGTAAAAAAGCCAAACCTCATTACTTTTTGTTGATATTTTGAGCTTTTTTAGAAAACATATCTTTATTATATTTTGATTTTAAATACAAAATAACAGTTAGGTATTGCCTTTAAAATGCCATCTTCATTGAGTTCCGATTCTAAATACAAAATCAGAATGTAGAATGAATTTAATATTATTTGGAATGTGCTCTCATGCCTTTTTATGTGCTTACTCTTACAAACTTTAGACTCCGGTTAAGGCCCTGTTAATAACTTATTTACCATAGAATGTTCTTTCAATTATAAGAATTTTGCTGATATGTATGGTTTTTACAAAAAAGTAGTGCAGGATAAAATCAGTTTGAAAACAAATCATTTTTTTTTCTTCCATTTTTTAAGAGATGCTATTGTTCTTTTGTTGTTTTTCCTTTTACTACATTTTTCTTTTAGGAGGATTTTTGAACAAAATTTAAAGGCAAGGTCATATTATACAAATGTATGTGTTTTCAGAAATTTTTAAAACAGTTTTAAAAACCTCTTATTCGAAACAGCCAAATTGCAAATAGACTCAGTACAATAAATAATAAGACACAAAGTATGCAGGTGTTGATAACAATTGTTTACAAAAGGTATTTGATATGTTGGCAATATTTGTCTATTGGGAATCAGCATAAACATCTTTTTGTCACACTGAAATTGATTTTAAAAAATTAATAAAGGCAATACACAAGATCTATCACATTTTGATAATATGAATGGTACAACGAAGCACCTTCCTTGAAAATTTGGTAATAAATTTTCAAATGGAAAATAACTCATAAATAATGGACTCTTCCATTTTTGATTGTGAGGAAAGACAGAAAAGTCACTTTTTAGTTTCAGTGAGGAAAAGAAAGAGGGAGAAAAATAAATTCCCTGCCAATACCTCATAAATGATAGACTACTCCATTTTGATTGCAAGGAAAAACAGTAAAATCATGTCAGAGACACTGTTTAGTTTCAGTGAGGAAAAGAAAGCAAGTAAGAAAGAGAGAGATGACAGTGAACACAACTATGCTTGTCAATTTTAAATCTTGCTTCCTTATGATTGCTATTGCAATATTTTGCTAAAGTTGTTAAGTTCAAATATTAAATGATGCAATAGAGGATTTCCATGGATATTTTATATTTGTGGAACTTGCAAAGAGCTTAGTATTCATTAAATATAATGATACATCAGAAAATTCAAATAGGAAAATCCTGAAATTTTCACAGGTACTACAAGTGATTTTTTCTTTGTGCACTAATTAACAGATATCCAGATATCCAGTTTGGCTTCCCCCTCCTCCACTTATAGAAATAGATTCAGCTGGTTGACACATATGTAACATAATAGGTAAAGGCGTAGTGTAGCTGTGGCAGCAAAGAGATGTAAACAGGAATAAATGCTATTTCACTAAAGAATGATTAGGCACTCTAGCAACTAACCAAGTCTTAACTTTGGTAACAGTAGCAAGGGAATATACGAATTTCAAGTGGCACAGTGGCATATAAAAACTGCATGTGTTTACAGGTGATACAAGAACAGTGCCATCAACAACAGACAAAGGTGGTAACCACCAAATAAATTGTATTAAATTGAATTTTTATAAGTCTACCATTCGTCTGTGTATTGAATATTGTTGCCACATCAAGTCTTGCACTTCTGCTCTGCATCTAGAAATTCTTGACAAAATCCAAAGAAGAATCTACAATGGTAACCGTCCTGATCTCATAACCTCAGTCCCTTTCTCACTACCATACATAGCTTCCCTGTGCCTTTTCTATAAATATTTTGATGGTAATTGTTTTGATGAGCCAGAGCTTTGGTATCCTGGCTTTATGAATTTAAGCTCAATACTAGATTGATAGCCAGATCTCATCATTGTGTTGAAATGGCTAAATATAACTATT